CTTGACTTGATATAATGATTAATGAACAAATAATACGTTCGGGGTGATGATGCTACGTTCGAGATGATGGTGATACAGCGGTGTATTCCATCACATTTCTAGTTATACTATTGGCCGTTTAGATTTTGATCTTGAGTTATTCATACAGTCCAAGCAGAGCTAGGATAGATAAAGAACAAGGTGAGGTGGGTGGTACAAGACTGTATTATACATACATGGATAAACATGTATCAGTCGAGTTGTATTGTTTGAGTCCATCAAGGCAAAAGAGAGTTGTAACAGTGTTTCCAAGCCATTTTGACCTGGGGTACACAACTCAGTGGGGTCTTAGTGCCACATTGTTCATCTACCTAATTATGCACTTCTTGCAGTTTTTCCGCAGTTTCTACAAGCAATAAAAATTTGTGATATACTACTTCATATACAGGAATGTACAGTATACATTTAAGGGCAAATAGGTTGGAGGACTGGCTGTTTCTCGACATGTCCACTAGACGAGATGAGCGGCATGTACGCTTCTCCATTTCCCTATAGATAAATATATTGAATTAAGGTATCATATATGAAACATATTTTGACTTACAATCATAGTTGATGGGAACCCAGCATCGAACGGCACAACACTTTCCAAGAATTTAATCTGTTCCGGAGTAATCTTAATATCCAGTGCCTCCACATTCGCCAGCAAATGCTCGATCTTACGTCCGCCAATGATGGGGAAGACGAAAGGAACTTTCTGCATCAAGTACGCAATCGCAACTTCAAAAATACTCGTCAATACTAAGATAAGTTTGGAAAAAGAGAAGCTTACCGGAGGTAATATGTTTAGCCCCCACCTCATCAGCAACCTTCTCCAGGGCCTGGCAGATTTTCTTCTCTGTATCATTACGTTCCCAATTGGGACTCCTGGTTGTACGTCCTTTCTCGCCTGTCTGACGGTGACGCTCTTCCTCAGCATCTGACCGGATTTTCCCGCCAGCAAGGACATTCCATGGAGCAAGGGCCATACCTAACCATGAAGACCATATAAAAACAAGTCCGAGTATAGTAAATATAAAAAGGAGACACACCTTCCGATCTCACCATTGGGATAATTTCACGTTCGAAAGAACGCTCCATCACATTCCACGCGCCTTGGTAAATGACAAAGGGCGTTAAAGCGTGATCACGTGCGTATTGGTTAGCTTTGGCGACCACCCATGCTGGGGTATCTGATACACCCTATGAAATCAAGTATATGATTAGCATATTATCATAACTATAAGACAAGCCACTTACAAGATACAAGACCTTCCCTTGAAGAACGAGTGTATGCATTGCGCGCATTACCTCCTCGATGCTAGTATCATAATCCCACCAGTGAAGATACAATAAATCAATGTAGGAAGTGCGCAATTTCTTCAGTGATGCTTTGATGGATATGTGCAACGATTTCGCATTATTCCCGACATACATAATCCCCTGTTGGATTGATGGGTCGCGCTTTTTGTAGTAGCTTGTATACTAAATAAATTAATAATGAGTATCGTTGCGGCAATGAAATATGAGAAAGGAGTACCTTAGTTGCGATAAATAACTGATCCCGAATCCCCCTTTTCTCAGCCCATTCACCCACAAATTGTTCTGACGTCTCGTCCTGGCTGATACCTCATTAGCATCAGATACTCTTCTCTGCATATCGAAACATTTCAAACTTACTAGTGGTTTGCAGTATCAATAAAATTTCCCCCATTATCAAAATACGCGTCGAGGAGGTTTAAACTGGACTCCTTATCCATGCTCCCCATCCCAATATCTTCCCATTTATCACCAATGCTCATAGCTCCTAGCTGAATAGGAGAAACATGCACCGCAGCATTAGGTGACAAAGCTCTGTATCGACCAAGACCGGTAGGAGGAGGAGGGGGTGGGGCCCAGAATGAAGACATTTTAATAGGCTGTTAAGTGATGAATGAAAGCTTATCCTAAGAGAAGAGATGAGCACAAGGCTTAGGGTGTAGAGAGAATATTTGCGACATACTATATATTCAGCGCGTAAATGATGAATAATTGAACTCCTAAAGGTATATAAGCATGTATCGTCATCCGGAAAGCTAACCGTGCATCGGCAGCGACGCATATCCTGAACATACGAGTCAAGATAAAATTCGGATGCATCAGGTGTTCGTGCAGCCCAATTTATATCCCCTTTAAGTAGTACAATGTACCGCGCTGCTCCAAAATACAGGGATAACAAGAAGGCTTGACTCATAAATAGTTTAATATCGATCAACAGGCCAGAGCTGCCGAAGACGTTGCGTCATCCGAAGTCTGACTGGCCGACTGTAGGAAAGTCCATGGGTGTGTAATCAATTCTTTTGACTTTGGTAAGAGAAGCATGCTGAATTTGGGGTGCTGCGAGTCGGATGGACTGGCTGTGTCATTTTGGGTGGAAAGAATTGGAGAAGAGTTTGGTTGATCAATATACCACAGCTGCCGACGACATTGCGTCACCCGAAGCCTGACTAGCCGATTGTATGAAAGTTAATGGGTGTGTAAATAACTCCTTCTTTTAGTGAATTTGAAAGAGAAACGTGCAGAATTTTGGGAGCTGCAAGTCCGATGGACGAGGATATATGAGATGTCGTTGTGGGGAAGAGCTGGGGAGAAGTTTGGTTAGCAACTAGAACGCTAATTAAAGATCAGTGCGCAGTGTTTGGTGACCACCTTGAGATTAAACATCAAAAATGTTTTCTCATCCATCGTCGGATAAACGTCAACGAACACCCAACAGACTTTCGAGTGAAGAGTGGAAATGAAGGATGTTCTGGTTCGATCATGTGAATAACAGGACATATGAAAGGTACACCTCTGTTGCTCACCTCTGCTGTACAAAGGTCTTGTTTGTGTCTCTCATTTAATGAATAACAACATAACAATTCCTTACAATGTCTTCAAGGTGGACAGTCACGCAGGACGAACCCTAATATGAACATATGTACGAAATGAGCAGACCAATGGAATTGTATGTATGGGCTTGGGGAGTGTGTTGAAGAAGAGCTTATCCCTAATGAGACTCTGAATAGCAGGACTCCGAGAGTGTGTAAAGCATGAAGAACCTTTTAGCTTCGAAGACACAATACATTACTAGAAAAGCCTATCGTATTTGCAAATTAAAAGTAAAATATGAATACACTACCACTCCCATCATCCATTGGAATTATTTTCGGAGTGTAAAAAAAAACACTAATAAATGCTGTGGTATTGATGAGAGTGGGATTCGAACCCACGTCCCAGAGGACCAGATACCTGATCCCAAGAGAGGAAGTGAGAGAAGAGGTGAACAGAAACTGCCCTGGTCCCCAGTCTGGCACCTTAGACCGCTCGGCCATTTCATCATTGGACATTGGAAGCCAGTAGACAAATAAAGTAGAGGTTGTAGGAGTACTTCTGAGAAGAGGGGACGAAGGAGACGACTAGAAAGAAAAAGTAAAATATGGATATACCACTTCTCATATCTATCTATCATCCATTGGGGTTTTCAGAATATAAAATAAAGAAAAATACGAACTTGCTATGATTGATGAGAGTGGGATTCGAACCCACGCCCCGAAGGACTAGATATCCACTCCCAATATAGTGAGGAGAGAAGAAGTGGACAGAAACTGCCCTAGTCCCTAGTCTGGCGCCTTAGACTGCCCGTCCATCTCACCATTGGAAACAAGCCAGCATCCATACAAAAAGATGCGATACGGATACACCCTGTGCCATTCCCATTATCCGTTGAAGTTTTCAGATTGAGAATAATAATAACAACAATAAAAGTAATAAAATACAAAACGTAAAATACATTCTATGGAAATGATGAGAGTGGGATTCGAACCCACGCCCCGGAGGACCAGATACCCGCTCCCTAAGAGGGAAGTGAGAAGAGTGGACAGAAACTGCCCTGATCCTTAGTCTGGCGCCTTAGACCGCTCGGCCATCTCACCGTTGGAAGCCAATGGCCAAATAAACTAGACCTCAAAAGACAACTTGGTGGTGACGCTGACAAGCAGTAGACAATCACCCAACGAGTAATCTGAATTTACATTATGATTGATGAATCGAATATTACAGTCCGAGATGATGATACAACAGTATGCCCCATTCAATATTTCATATCATGCTACTGTACATTTGATTGTGATTTCGAGATATGTATATAGTCCGAGAAAAGCGAGGGAAGATAAGTCAAGAAGGCGAGGAAGGCGGGCGCAAGAGCGTGTATGGACATGTGCGTGTGTCAGTTGATTTATACAAGTTGCGTGTGTCGAGATAAAGTTGTGTTATTCGAGTCCATCAAGGCAAAAGAGAGGATTTGGAGTGAGCCACCCACTGGTGGGTCCCGCTTAGTTATGACTCTCTTTAGCCTCCTTCTTCTCTTCATCACTAGGGAACTTGGCGAACGCGTCCTTGAGCTTGTCCATGGGAGCAGCCATGAGGCCTGCGAGCGTCTCGAAGGGGGGTTTGTTCGGTGCGGAGGGGTGGGATCTGCGGGAGGGGGAGGGTTAGGAACCATGAAAGCAAAGCTCGCGAAAAGAAACGACTACAGACCTAGTTGGAACGAACTTCTTCGTTCGCTCAAAGCTCTTCGCCGCGCTCTGCGAATCCTCCCTCCCGATCGCGGCCTCCAACAAGGGGAGATCCTCGTTCTCCTCGGAGTCGTTGTGTGGCTTGAGGTGGTCCATGATCTCCTTGAGGAGGGACGCGTGCTGCGAGGTGCCGGGGGAGAGGTCTTCGAGGTTGTAGAGGCGGTTTTTCACCTCCTAAGGAGGGGTGTCAGCAACGGTGTTTGCAGAGAAGGAACATCACGAACCTGATGATCAGCGCGGTCATGCTCAGCAAGCTGCTTTCCCTTCTCTCCCAAATGCTTCTCCATCATAGGGTACACGACGAGCTCCTCAGCGATCGCATGTCTTGCAACCTCCCAGGTGAGCTGGCGCGCCCATCGCTCTTGCTTGTCGGGGTTACCGGAGGCTTTGGTGTATTCGTCGTAGTAGGTGTACATCTCACGATGATCCTCAGCGACAGCCTCGGAGAGAGTCTGGCTCTTGGCGGACGACATGGCGCGTGCTAGTGACAGTGGTAGCGTTGAACGTGTATACGCTGAGCTGGTCGGTCTCGAGAAAGTGTGTGAAGGGCGGGCAAGGCGAGCAAGGAGAGACCTTGAAGCGGCGGATGAAGAATACATTCTTTTCTGCGTTCGATCGTGGGGTTTTGTAGCGAGCGTTAGACCGCTGATATAGACCCAAATCGCAAACAGACGATGTCACTCATGAGCTCACCCTCTCCTTGCGGATCCAATCGCAAGTCGCGCATTACGCTAGGAGCGTCATATACCTTGCTTCCTATGACGCGGATAAAGCAAGATCGCTAGAGTTGACGCGGAGGACAGACGAGATCGAGCGAAAGAGGATAAGAGAGAGCATGATCGACGAATGCGGGGAAGTAGGGATGACGTAAAATATTGCGTTGGTGAGATATGCGAGGACGCTGATTGGCTGTTAAATTTGCTTCCGTCGTTCTGCCAAACTCCACCTCAAACGTGCTCCTCCTCAAGCTTGGAACGACTATACCCCGCCCGGAGACACATCGAATTTCGTCTGTGATTTGGCGCGTTGTCCTGGCCTTCCTATGCGATTTGACGCGTCGTTCATTTGGCTCTCGTGTAATGGGTCTTTTACCTAGCAGTAGTGATGCAACAATTCTCTTCTGCCCGGAATCTTGGGTCTTCATGCGCCTCGCAGCCCTTTCAAACCAATTTTTAAATTATCTATTATCAAGTGGATAATAGCGCACCGGTGCGCGACCGTAACTCATACTCCCTGAGACTTTAAGTGATGGATATGGTTCATAATAGGGTTCGACTCCCGCTATCCACATGTAAATACGAGTCCATACTCATCTTTTGCTCATTTTAATCCTTAAAAGCTTAAGTGCTGCATTCTCTTAGGCTCCTACAGCTCACGTTAGGGGTTAGAGGATTCAACTCCCACTATCCACCTACGGAAGTACAGATGCGACTTTCAAATATTTTATCGCTCTCTCTCTCGAATTACTCCGCCTTCAATAGCGACCTGCTTCAGAAGATTGTAGGTGGATATGGCGTACTAGAAACGCAACCATTATCAGTGCCGTTCTCTGACTATCTATGTATGGTTAATTCGGGTTCGACTCTCGATATCTACTTGCCATATAATTCATTTTCATTTTTTTTCCCCCGGGAAGTGTCCAGTATGTTCCATTCGAAACTCTCGATACTCTAGTGCACCATACCACGTTCAGCGCAGGGAATTCGACACCTATGGGCTATATATTTCGATTCTCACTATCCGCCTATATATAATATGGCTGCAACTATATGATCCCCTCTCTCTCGAACTACTCAGCCTTCAATAGCATCCTGCTTTAGAGGATTGCAAGTGGATATGGTGTATCGGAAAGGCAACTATTATCCATGGCTTTTGAGAGTCAGTATATAGTGGCTCATTCGGGTTCGACTCCCAATATCTGCTTACTGCCCCGTAGGTTTGATTTTTTCTTCTTTTTCTTTCAGGTGTCCAGTACACTCCATTCTACTCTCTCGACATCTATATGATGGATCTTCTATCGGCCTTTAATATTTCTCCAGCCTAATACTCGTCCAGGTCAATTCAAAACCCTCACCTGAAACTCTCTCCGATCCATTTCTTCTCATAGCTGTAGGAAAACCTAGGCAGTTATACCTATTCTTCCCGTTCTCATGACACCTACTAATTCATTTTAATTTTTTGAATCCTTTCTTGAATGCTGCATTCTATTAGACGCATGCCCTTGTCAGTGCTCTAGGCTCTCGCGAATTCAATGAAAGCCTGGATGTATCCCACTCTTCTTCCTCCTCTTTAACACTTCCTAACCGTACAAAGCCACCCGCAAGAAAGGACTTTCAAGCGGATAATAGCTCAATGGTACTTGGCCGTACTTCATTCGACGCAGTGACATGCATTTGTTTGATGTATATATGGTTGAGAGGGTTCGACTCCCATTATCTGCCTGAGCACTATGGAGTGACTTTCAAATATTTTATGGCCCTCTCTCTCGAACTCCACTTCAAATAGGGTCCTGATTCAGAAGAGTATAGGTGGATATAGCGTACTGGAAACGCAACTATTACTCATGGCTTTTGGACATCGGTAACTTCCCCTTCTCGGAGTGTTGTAAAAACCTAGGTACTTACAGCCTCATCTTCCCCGGCGCTCTTCTTCAGCCCGCTCTCCCAACCAACCCAACATCCTTCGAATCAAGTCCCACCAAGTAGATATTAATAATAGCGCACCATTGCGCAACCATACTGTTGAAATGATGATCACATGATTGTCATTTATAGACGTGAGTCATCCTCTGACTCACAATCATTCTATGATATTCCATACACTTCTCTATGATATCATCTATGATTCATTATGACTCATATGCTACAATATGTACAAACAATATGGTCTGTGCACACATGGTCTGTGCACACTTTAGCAGTATAAATACGAGTAGATAGTACCTCGTTAATATAAGTCAGATTTACATCTTACTTTGTAGTTAAGTCGCTTACAAGCCTCTACTAACCCAACACCCTTCAGGTGAGTTATAGTTAGTTATTATGTAGCCTATGCCACTGCGCGCCTATGC